CGCCAAATGTTTTCTATAGGTGAAAGATCTGGACTGCAGGCTGGCCATTTCAGTACCCGGATCCTTCTCCTACGTAGCCATGATGTTGTGATTGCTGCAGAATGTGGTCTGGCATTATCGTGTTGAAAAATGCAGGGTCTTCCCTGAAAGAGAAGACGTCTAGATGGGAGCATATGTTGTTCTAGAACCTGAACATAGTTCTCTGCATTAATGGTGCCTTTCCAGACATGCAAGCTGCCCATGCCACAAGTGCTCATGCAACCCCATACCATCAGTGATGCAGGCTTCTGAACGGAGCATTGATAACAACTTGGGCTATCCTTGTCCTCTCTGGTCCGGATGACATGGCGTCCCAGTGTTCCATAAAGAACTTCAAATCGTGACTCATCTGACCACAGAACAGTCTTCCATTTTGCCACACTCCATTTTAAATGACCCCTGGCCCAGAGCAAACATCTGAGCTTGTGGAGCTTGCTTAGAAATGGCTTCCTCTTTGCACTGTAGAGTTTCAGCTGGCAACGGCGGATGGCATGGTGGAATGTGTTCACTGACAATGCTTTCTGGAAGTATTCCTGAGCCCATTCTGTTATTTCCTTGACAGTGGCATTCCTGTTTGAGGTGCAGTGACGTTTAAGGGCCCAGAAATCATGAGCATCCAGTAGTGTTTTACGGCCTTGACCCTTACGCACAGCGATTGTTCCAGATACTCTGAATCTTTTGATGATGTTATGCACGGTTGATGATGATAACTTAAAAGTCTTTGCTATTTTACGCTAGGTAACACCATTCTGGTATTGCTACAGTATCTTTCTGTGCAACAATGGTGGAATTGGTGATCCTCTTACCATCTTGGCTTCTGAGAGACACTGACACTCTGAGAAGCTCTTTTTATACCCAATCATGTTGTCACTTGACCTAATTAGTGTTAATTGGTCTTCCAGCTGTTTGTTATATGCTCAGTTTCCTTTTTTCAGCCACTTATTGCTACTTGTCCCAACTTTTTTGGGATTTGTTGACACTGTGAAATTTTGAATAAACATATTTTTCCTTTAAAATGTTACATTTACTCAGATTAAACTTTTGATCTGTCAACTATGTTATATTACGAATAAAATATTGACATTTGCCCTCTCCACATCATTGCATTCAGTTTTTATTAACAATTTGTTTAGTGTCCCAACTTTTTTGGAATTCGGTTTGTAAGATCCATACTAAAAAACATCTTTTTAAATGGTTAATCTAGACATTTTTGAAACAATGTTCTGTCAGACTATCAGAAGATAATGCCTATTCAATTGTGACATCAGTCACAGAGCAAGGACAATGAGGAAAAAGGCAAAAGTCTTTGTCCATGCTAAGGTAATGGCTACCGAAATGAGGACCCTTTTTACTGTATATCAATTTTTCAGTCTTTTATATCAATACAGTGTCTAAAACAACATACCCAGTACTGATGTGTGTAAATGCTTTATTGGCAAACATAAAACTTCCCCTGTTGAGCCACTAAGGAGCACAAACCAGATTATCACTGCCTGTCCCAAGCCCGGGGAAATGGTGAGGATTGTGTCAAGATGGGCATCCAGTGTAAAACAGTTTTGCCAAAATAATTGCTAGTTCTACTAAGCTATGCCGTACAGGATCAGTAGAGGTCTGGGTTAACAACTGCCACCAGTTCTGTTGACAAATAGGGTGCTGGTAAATTTAGTGTCTTAAATGACAGGCAGAGACTCATTCAGAGATGACAATAAGGATACTGCAGTCTATAGTATTAACATATGACAAGCATTCCTAATAATAATTATATTGTATAACATCAGATACTAAGAATCAGTAAGGATACATGTACTTTGTACATTATAGAAGTTAAATATGGGCTCAGTGACACTAGAATATTACCATTACTACATGTGCACGTCAAAATCTCAACAAAATCAACTTTTTCAGCAGACCATTGCTCAAACTTCCTGAGTTTTCCCTGATTTCTTATGTTTTTTTTTGTTGCTATTTTTAATTTACTGAGTTTTTCATCTAGACAAAGTGAAAGTCACTTTCCAGGTTTTCCCTGATTTCCAGATTCACTAAGAACACTGAAAAGTAAAGAGCTTGCTGACATGATACCGAGAAAGAAGGTAGATGCATTATGTGTACAAGAGACCAAATGGAAGGGCAGCAAGGCTTGTGGCATTGGGGCAGAGTTTAAGCTGTTCTACCATGGTGTGAATAGGAAGAAAAAGGGAATAGGTGTGGTTCTGAAGGAGGAGTTTGCAAGGACTGTAGTAGGTGTGAAAAGCAACAGTGATCAGAGACAGGTAAGAAGGTACTTGGTGCAGTGTTTCCCCTACCATTATACAGGCGAGGTGCCCCACCCCTCCAACAAAACTGAGCACCCCGCCTACCAAACTGAACTTGCCCCTCCCACCCCCACCCAGCACTGACATATCCCTAAGGTATCGGCGCAAAATACAGGCTCTCTAGCTCAAAAGTCCAAGGCAGCACTCACATTGCCTCTTCTTTCATGTTGAACGTCTCCCGCCCCCGCTCAAAAATTGTTAGTACAAGCTTCGCTCAGACATGTCTCCATCCCCCCCATCAGCAAAAATCATGAATGAGATGAGCACCCCGCCATGGCAAGCCAACTAGGGGAAACACTGGAGTGTGTCATGTGAACAGAGAAGACACAATGAGAAAACCTGGTGGTGGAATAATGAAGTGCAGGATTTTATCCAGAGGAAGAGGTTAGCTAAGAAGAAATGAAATGCAGAGGACTGAAGGGAGTAAAGAGGAATATAAGGAAACTGAACATTTGGCAAAATGGGAGGCAGCAAAGGTTAAACAGAAGGTATTTAAGTTGTACAAAAGGCTGGACAATAAGAAGGAAGAACAGGGCTTGTATCAACTGGAAAGACAAAGGGATCAGGGTGGAAAGAATGTGCAGCAGGTTAGGTTTACCAAAGACAGAAATGTTAATCTAACATGGGAGGCGAGTGTGATGGGAAGATGGAAGGAGTACTTGGATGAGCTTATGAATGAAGAGAATGCAATGGAAAGATGAGAAGAGGTCATAGAAACTGTGGACCAGGAAGTGGAACGGTTAGTGAAGATGAAAGCTTTGAATAGGATGAAGAAGGGGAACACAGTTGAACCTGATGACACAGCAGTGGAGGTATGGAAATGTTTATGAAATATGGCAATGAGGGTTTTGACTCAATTATTCATTGGCATTTTTGAGAGAAATCGCCTGAAGAATGGAGAAGTGTGTTAATGCCCATTTTTATGAACAAGGATGATGACAGTGTTGTAGCAACTATAGCAAAATTAAGTTGATCAGCCACACAATGAAAATCTGGAAATGAGATGTGGAAAATAGACTTGGGCAAGAGGTGGCTATTTATGAGCAGCAGTACAGTTTCATGGCAAGAGCACCACAGATGTAAATTTTATGTTGACGATGTTGATGAAAAAATAGTGTGTCAGAAAGAACTTAATTGTGTTTTTTTGGATATAGAAAAAAGCATATGACAGGGCACCAAGGGAGGAGCTGAGGTGTTGTACGAGGAAATCTGAAGTGGCAGAGAAGTATGTTAGACTGGTACCGGACATGTATGAGGACAGCAGGACAGTGGTGAGATGTACTGTAGGGGTGATAGATAGCTTCAAGGTGGAGGTGGGAGTGCATCAAGGATCGACTCTGAGCCCCTTCTTGTTTGCTCTGGTGATGGAACGACTAACAAATGAGGCCAGGCAGGAATTCCTGTGGACTATGATGTTTGTAGATGACACTGTGATCTGTGGTGAGAACAAGTGGAAGAAAGAAACGGGTAAAGATAATGGATGGATGAATGAAATTTTGGGGAATCAACACCATCTGTCTGTTAGCTAGTCATGAACCATTATACGGACTTTGATAAAACACTAATTAGATAAACATTTATAACAAATTAACCTTTGGAGTCAACCCAATTCAAGAGGACCACTACATATAATCAACATTAGCCAACACAAAAATGGCTATAACTCAGTTAATAGCAGGATTTCAAGTACCTAAGATTGACTGTCCAAGAAAATGGGGAGTGTGATAAAGAAGAGGGTACAGGCAGGATGGGGTGAATGGAGAAGTTTCAGGAGTTATTTTTGAGAAAAAGGTGTCAGCAAAGGCCAAAGGAAAAAAAGACAGTCGTGAGACCAGCTATGTTGTATGGTTTAGACAGTGGCACTGAAAAAAGACAGGAGACAGCAGTGACAGTGGCAGAGCTGAAGATGTTGAGGTTTTACTTGGGAGTGACAAGAATGGATAAGATTAGGAATAAGCTCATCAGAGATGGTGCACAAGTTGAATGACTGCAATATAAAGTCAGAGGCTAGTCTGAGATGGTTTGACATGTGCAGAGGAGGGACATTAAGTTTATTGATAGATGGGTGTTAGGAACGCAGCTCCCAGGAAAAAGACAAAGAAGAAAGCCAAAGAGGAGATATATGGATGCAGTTAGAGAGGATATGAATACAGTCAGATTGAGAGCATTGGATACAGAGGACAAAGTGAGATGGAGAAGAATGACTCGCTGTAGTGACCCCTGAAGAAAATAGCCAGAAGAAGCAGAAGATAACTTCCTTTCATGACAAAGTTTATATAGTTTGTCACTGTTTTCTCAACTAAATAATATTTGTGTAACTACACAACTGCATGTATGCTCAGCACAAACCATTATATATAAATTGTGTGTGCAAGTGCATCAGCCCATGAAGAATTGAGAAAACAGTTGGACTAACGAGACATGCTGATCAAGAAGACTGATACATTCATGTACAAAATTAAAAACTATTGGTAACAACTTGACAAAACAATACCTCAAAAATGACCAGACTACCCCTTTAAGAAATCAATAGGTTGAAAAGTCATTACAAATATGCATTTATTATTACACATTACTTTACATAATGGGAGATATAAAAACAGTGTTCGGACAAGGAAAAGGTTATTTGCAAGTTAGACTGTTGTCTACCTGTCACTGAGATGTAGGAAACTGCTGTTGTCATCTAGATGATCATCTTCAAAGCTCAGGTTAGACCAGCTGCCCAAACTGTCATCTCCAACACTCAGCTGTTTAGACATGGTAGACTCAGAGGCTTCCCAACCTGGTGAACTGTTGGAGATGAAAAAGAAGTTTTCAAAGAAAAAAAAAAGCCAGAGTTTTTTAACCTTACCTGTACAAATTTTTTCAGTCATGGCCATGCAACATGAAAAAAGAAATTACTGTGACATTTTCAATATGTTAACTCTAAGCAGCGGATGAAAAAAACACTGAAATATGTGCATAACCTTGGTCCTAAATAGAACAAATAGACAAACAGTCAAAGCACCTAAATGATGTGTCATGTGTAAGACTATGTGTGTTTGTGTGCGTGTTACCTGATGTGTGCAGCCTGACAGACATTGGACAGAGCTGATGCCATGATTTCAGCAGATAGGCTCTCAGCGTAGCTCGTCCCTTCATGGCCAATCCCGCTGTCCGCATTAAGGCTGGTGTTACTCAACTCTCGTTTAGCTGTCTCCATTGCCAAAGACACCACCTCCTCTGCAAATGCTGCCCTGTGGTTCAGATCAATGTGGATTTTTGGAATCTGCACGCCAGAGAGGCGCTCAGGTCCAGAATGAGATTTCGACCCTCGCAATCTTTTCTGTAATGCAGACTGGTAATGGTGTCTGCTAAGTTTTGTGCAGTAAGGACACTCCTGTACCTGACAATAATGACAGGTCCTCGTTCCCAAAGCTTGGACCACTACTGGGACCTTTGACAACCTCTGGATGTGAGAGTTTCTGTCATCACATGAGGAGTGTCCAATTGATGCCAGGCTCATTTTCAGTGTGTCATCCACAATCTTCTTAGCATAATGCTCAATAACCTGCATCACCCCGCTGCTGTAGCTGCCGTCATACAGGCTTCCTGTACTGTGGTAATGTCTCATTTTTTTCTCCTTGGACAAAAGAGGGCATGAGAAGTAGTTCCAGATTATATTATTTGCCGTGCCTTCAAATTTAGACTTTTTATAAAGACAGGAGTCAGTAAGAGATTTAGGAAGCCGAACAGAGGAAAGATGTAGCTTGCGTGTAACATCACAGGTGATGTTGTATGCCAAAGACTCAGCAAAGTTGACCAGATTGATGCATTCCCTCTTACTTTGCATTTTTGTGTCCCTACTACACTGAGCATCTTCACCTGATCGAAAATCCACCGAGTCTGAGGAGTGAAGGCAGCTGGAAGAGGTTCGATTTTGCTCAATTTTACAGCTAGCATGAGCTAAGCCAAGTTTTATAGAGCGGTATGCCAAACGACTTGCATACTGGTCCAGGACCAACTCCCTACTGCCGCCCTCCTTTTTCAGCACTCTAATTAGGTAGCCTGCATATTCATCTGTCACACTCTCACAGCTGGGGTACTCAGAGGACAGACCAGAGCTGGAGCTAGTGGTGGAAGAGAAGGTTGGCGACAAGGAAATAGAGGCCATCAGGTCATTGGACCACTTCTCAGCCAACCTCCCTAACTTCCAGTCTCTGCTCTGACCTATACTGGGTTGAGACTGGTGTCTGTAGTGGTGATGCCTACATTCAGAGCTAGATTTGTCCAAGCTTCTTCTTCTGAACTCCCGAGCTCTGTGATATGGAGATCGCTGCTTTGAACTCACCATCATTTTCACATCATTTATGACCTCTCCTGCCACCTCACCTGCATACACCCACAAGGTGTTCAGGGTCTGCTCAGAGAAGTGAGCCACACTGTCTTTTCTCTCACTGCACTTGTTCATTTCCCCTTCGTCCTCTGACAATCCCAGATTATCCATCTCTGTTGCCATAGAGACTATGTGACAAGCTAGCTGCTCAGCATAGTGGAAAGCTTCCTTATTAGATATCCTGTGAGAGGGCATTTGATTGAGATCCCATCTTTCACTGTTTGCCTCTAAACATCTGTTAGTGCCCAAAACACCTCCTCTTTCAGATGATTCTTCCTCTTCTGCAGCCTCTGTGTCATCTGCCTCCTCAGAGAGAGACCTGATCAGGCTGAGCATAAACTCAGCCTTGTCTGTTCCAAGAATTATATCTTTTGAGCCAAGACCTAGTTCGGGCTGATAATGAGGGGTTGGAGGTGGTGTTGCAGGAGAAAACTCCTTGGCCAGCTTGCTTTTTAGCTTCTTGGAGAACTGTTTTATCTGTTTCTCTTTGGATACTTCATTAGGCTGCTGGGGGGTGGAGGGAGGAGTACCAGGCGTTCCACTAGTTTTCTGGTCAGAGCTTGAAGCAAAGTCATCCGTAGGAGCGGATATCCTGTTCTGACCACCCACAGCTATACCCGGCACATCAAGAGTATCCATTGTTACCAGCTGTTTTTGAACTACACCTCTCCCCTTAGGCTTTATCTCATTCTGGATTATACCCTGGTATGAACAGCCTGTCTGAAAAGAAACTGGGGAAATAAAAAGGTCAGTTGCTTGCTCAATAGTGTCATCTGGCCATACACATCTATTGTTTTTTAAACATTCTTGGCCTGCTCCCTGCTCTGAAATTAAATCTAGAGTATCCTGCTTTGAGGATGAGTCCTTTTGATTTCCCTTAGTCTTTGTTAGGAAATCAGCACAATCACCAAAGCTTTTCTTCGTCTTAGAGGCAGTTATAAGTTCACAAGCCTCAGAAACAATCATATCTACCATGTTGCCAGAAAAGTTTTGGAATGAGGATATTTGTAGGGAGGGGTCATCTCCAGATATAGAGGTTGGATGACTGTAAAAGGGAGTGTGAGAAGATGTAATGGTGTCAGATGACAATACAGCTATTCTTTTGGGACTGGTCTTTGAGCTATTAGAGAAGTTAGAATTACAGGTCTCTTCTGTATCCTGGAGGTAGGAGAGGGCACGGCCTGCATGGGGTACAGGAATGCAACTAGCTATGCCTGAAACAGTGAACAGTGCATTCTTCATTGTGCAGGGAGCCCCATCTCCTGAGGACCCTGGTTCTGTTGAAGTAGAGCAGGCACTTAAAACCTGCTGATTAGCAACGGTATTGCAAGTACGAGTGCTAGTATTCTCTGCAGTAACATAACATACGTTGTCTCTAGATACACTAATAGCCACCTGACTGGTGAAGGCCACATCAGCCTGAGAAAGCTGTATGAAAGCTTCCTGAATTACAGATTCCGATAAGTCAGAAGCATAAGAGCACACTACCTCCTCCTCTTCCTCCTCCTCCTCAAGCCTGTGGCCAAAAGACCAATCACTAGGTGTGAGAGGGGTAGAGGGATGGGAGAACTGACACACTTCCATTATTCCTTCAAACACCAGCTCCTCAGCTAGATCGGCAGCAAATTGTGTCACTGTGTTGTGGAAAATCTGTTTTTTTACTGAAAGGAATTCTTTTAGAGCCCCAGAAATGGCCTCACCAACAAGGAAGCCAGCTAACCCATTAATGGCTTGTTCTTTCAGCACAAAGGCACGTCGCATGCCAATTTCATGGAAGGCCATCTGAAAAACTGAAGACGTGAGTCTGGCAGCCAAATGACATAAAGTGGTGGTGCAGGAAGATACTCCTTTTTGTAGGTCTCGCAGGGCACTGCCCAAACTCATTTCCACCAGGTCAGAAGCAAACCTCTGAATACCGTCCTTCAGAGACTTAGTCGTCTTCTGCAGCTTGGCCACTGTTACAGTCTCTTGAATATCTGACAGTTTCATAAGATACCCTGAAGGGTTCTTAAACTCCTTGTGGCAGACACAACTGAGATTCTTGTTGTCATTGATGTCAACAGCGGACTGAAAGCCACACACAGATTCCAGAATTTCTTTGGATAGAGTGCTTGCAAAGTCTGAGTAGGTCTTATACAAGGAGCAGAGGTCCTGCGGTTTACGTAGCTCTGAGCTGTTTTGATCATCCTCATCTGCTTTCCAGAAATATTCTGGAAGTCCACTAGAGTCTACCAGTGGACTAAAAGCAGAAGAGCTGACAGGACTAAAGAGAGGTCCACAAGTCTCCTCAGGAGGGGTTTGTACAGGCCAAGTGGATTCCGGGACTTCAGTGTGGATCGAGTAAGGAGAACCTGGTTTCAGAGGAGTGGGTTTTTTCACATTGGCTGGGAGGGTGGGTTGGTCAAAGCGATGAGGATTCATACTCTTGGTTGAACTGCCCCTGGAAACATATTTAGACGCTGACTCGCTTGAACTAGCCTCAGCACATTTTTCTTGTGTAGTTGAGGAACTGATGGGGTCCAAAGGCAATGTGAGTGTGCAGCTTTCCGAATTCAGCTCCTCCAGGTCATCAAATTGGTCAAAGCTGTCAAAGAATTCACTGACTTCAGAATCTGAATCTTCCACTTGCTCACTGGGTCCCCCTGGCACCTGGGGGATGTCCAGCTTAGCCAGCATGCTCTTCTGGTAGCCTACTTCATCCAGAAAGATGACAGGGCTTGGGCTGGAGCAATCGGATTCTTCTGACTCACTGATCCGAATAGAAGGGGAGGAGAGACGAGCTCCAGGACTGCAGTAAGTCCACTGGGATTCAACCCCTGATGATGACCTCTGCACTTTAACAGATGCATTGAGTCCAGACTGCTGATTAGCTGAATACTTCTTGGAAGATGAACTTTTAATAACACGAGAGCCTGACGGTTGTTTTCTTCTCTTGTACGCTGGGATTGTTTGTGATGCCACATCACGCTTTTTGAAATGGCAAACTGTATCTGCAGCTGTGAAGAAGGACAGAAAAGTGACAGAAAAAAACAGGTCAGTTATTTATTAGTAGGAGTAATAAGTAAATATTAAAAAGCTCTTTTAAAATTATTAAGTGAAAACAATGTGCGACTGTGTTAAGTTAAAATAGGATTATGTAATTTGGTTCTAACCAGTAATTTATTAGCTCAATAATTGTAAATGCTTTGTTTGTCTCCTACTTAAAGAAAGCATCATACACAATTCATGAAAAAAACATAAATCCAAAAGAATTTAAAGCCCAGGTTTGGTTTGTGAAACAGAAATGTATTAATGCTATACACAAAGTTCCCAGCATTTAATTTAAACAAAAGTCCCTGAGTTTTCCCTTATTTTTTTTCTTGAGTAAATACAGAAATTCCAGGAAATATTTCAGTTGCACAAAACACTCAGAATTGGCGTTTTAGGTAGATTGCTAAGGATATGTGAAGAAAATCATTCCTAATAATTATTTAAACTGTACAACATCAGATACTGAAATGTCACTGTAGCCTACCAGTAGGGCTGGACGATATGGCCAAAACTTTTATCACGATATATTTCTTAATTTCGGTCTGTAAAGATATAATTCCGATATCGATATAAACGATATAAAAGTCTCAGAAAAACTGTACAAACTGTACAAATAAATTAATGTTCACCTTTTATTTGTATTTCGCCTTCAAAGAAATTTGAAATCACCGTCAAATAAACATAAAACTCTCAACTTTGTCAATATTAATAGTTTTAACTTTAAACAACAACATAACCTAATCTCTTTTGATACAGCTGGGGGTGTTGTTTCAGGAACATGTTGGCTCAAACTTTTATTGTGCTTCATCTTCTGACTCAGCATATTCTATCGAGTGGAAACTCTTCAGATGGTGGAACAAGTTAGATGTGTTCCCACTTCCCACCGCTAGTTGGAATAATTCTCTGTCACATTTTGCAGCACACTGAAACCTGCAGTTTAACGAATCTTAGATAGCTGAACCACTTCCACACCGCCAAATTAGTCTTTCCTCTCGTCAATTATGTCATCTGCTTTCTCTTGGCTTGTGAAAGCTTGTTCAGTCACATTCTGACGGCCATGGGCACTCATTTTGAAGTGAAAACTTACCGTGCATTGGAGCTTAGCCTAGCCTAGCCTGCTACCGCTGACTCCTTCTGGACTCGAGCTCTGTGTGTGGTGTACGTCACCACGCACTTGCGTAGTTGTGTCACAAATTTTTCTGTTCGGGTTGAAATGACCGACGGTTGAAGTGGCTGCTTCAACTCAAACAGAAAAAGAAATGCATCAGTGAAACGCTGTAATCATAGTGTAATGTATATTGAAATATCGAAAATGTGCTTAAAACTCATATCATCGTTACTGAATAAAAGTATATTGTGATATATATATATATATCTATATCAAATTGTTGTCCAGCCCTACCTAAGGATAATGTGTACTATGTACACTGTGGAAGCAAAACATGGATTCAATGACACTAAAATACTAGCATTAATACATGTACAAGTCAAATCTCAGAAAGATACTTTAATTCAGCAGATCACTGTTCAAATTCTCAAAGTTCTTAATGATTTTTCATGTTTTTCTCAAATTCCCTGATTTTTTTCTTGTCTGGAAAATGTTAGACATTTTCCAGGTTTTCCCTGATTTCTGTTGCTGGGAACCCTGTACACATCTTTAGATAAACCTACAGTGACTGTCTCCGGTGCCTTCTTCCTCCAGATGCTCTAGGGCTGTCACAAAATCATCCTCAATTGATGAGACCGATTGGTTGGTGTCATCTTCCTCTGCCTGGCTGTGCTCAGTTGTGCCCCTGTGAAGAGCCTGAAGCTCAAGCAGGTAGTGAAATCCTGCCACGTAACACCCCAGCAACCCCATCAAAGATGTGACAGTGGTTTGAGGGGAGGTGTTCATGCAGGAACTATGCCTTAGGACACACAGAGCCTTTAGCAAACACTGCAAGAACAAAACACAACAAAAAAAAAGTTAAAAGACATAAGAAAAGAATTGAATAAAAAAAAAATCTCTATGAAAGGGTAAAGGGTTCATGTTCTGCTTCACTTAGACAGCCCAGCTGTTTCTGAAAAATATCTTCATTTTGTAACATTATATAAAGTACATGTGTGTGTGTGTGTGTGGGGGGGGGGGGGGGGGGGGGGG